CTCCCAGTTTCTTCAAGTCACTATAGTGCTGAAAGCAGGGAGACTCTCCTGTACCTTCTAATACATTAGTTCCTCCTACTCTGGGTAACTGTAATCCAGAAAGGAAAATAACCACATGAGAGGGTAGATTGGAACACGGATCCCAGGACCAGACTAGAACTGGGAGTTAAGGGAGGAGAAAGGGACAGAAGAGACAGGCTTTCAGCAGGGTTTTGAAGACAGAATAAGGGCAGAAGAGTTTATGACCACTTGAGAATACACCCTTCCAGAACCTTAAATAGAACCAAAGATGAATCACAAACTAAATGAGTTAACAATGTAATAGTGTTGCAAAAAAGTAAACAATCTTGGATGTACAAGCAGGAGTACTGAATACAAAGCATGTTAATTAATTATACCGTATTACTCAGCGCTAATGAGGCCTCAGCTGGAATACTGTGCCCTACACTTCAGGAAAGATGTGGACAAATAGGAGAAAGTCCAGAGGAGAGCAACGAAAATGATTAGGTCATAATTTTTAGGCCTTTATCTGGAAAGATTGAAAAAATTGGGTTTGTTTAGTCTGCGGAAGAGACAACTAGAGAGGTACATAATAATGTGATAAACTGTTCTCCTTAACCATTGCATAAAGGATAAGTAGTAATGGTCTTACACTGCAAACAGAGATTTAAATTAAACAAACAAACAAAAAAAACCCAACCCTTACTATGTGGATAGTTAAGCATTAGAACAAATTACCTGGAGACATTGTGGAATCTCTGTCATTTAAGGTTTTTAAGAACATGTCACAAAAACATCTGTCAGGGATGGTCTAGATAATACTTACTTCTAATTTAGTGCAAAGGACTGAACTAGTTGACCTATTGTGGCCCCTTCCAAACCAATATTTCTCATACCTGAAGCCTGCTATTCCTCTGAAATAAGCAAACATCTGTAAAACCCACTGGCAAATTGTGTGTCTCAGACTCATCCAGTGGCCAGTCAGCCTACAGAATGATAACTTACAACCACTACTAGTTAGCGGAAATGTCAGAGGTCTTGTGCTATAGAGGTAAAGGTTCCAACTTTGCTGATGACTCATACTAGTGTCTAAAAGTTTCCACATAATGGATTGTTTTCACTTTGTTGTTTTACAAACTTAAGAAATTTCAAAACATGTTGTGTGCAGTGTTGTTATAACTGTGTTTGTCCCAGAATATGAGCATCCCCTGGATGAGGGGATAGATTACACCCTCAGTAAGTTCGCAGATGACACTAAGCTAGGGGGAGAGGTAGATATGCTGGAGGGCAGGGATAGGGTCCAGAATGACCTGGACAGATTAGAGGATTGAGCCAAAAGAAATCTAATGAGGTTCATCAAGGACAAGTGTAGAGTCCTGCATTTGGGACAGAAGAATCCCAAGCATTGTTACAAGCTGGGGACCAAATGGCTAAGTAGCAGTTCTGCAGAAAAGGACTTGGGGATTACAGTTGATGAGAAGCTGGATATGAGTCAATGGTGTGCCCTTGTAGCCAAGAGGGCTAATAGCATATTAGGGTGCATTAGGAGGAGCATTACCAGCAGATCCAGAGAAGTGATTATTCCCCTTTATTCAGCTCTGGTGAGGCCACATCTGGAGTAGTGTGTCCAGTTCTAGGTCCCCCACTATAGAAAGGATGTGGATGCATTGGAGAGGGTCCAGCAGAGGGCAATCAAAATGATTAGGGGGCTGAAGCACATGACCTATGAGGAGAAACTGAGGGATTTGGGTTTGTTTAGTCTGCAGGAGAGAAGAGTGAGGGGGGATTTGATAACAGCCTTCAACTTATAAATAAAATAAATTTTTAAATTAATGGAGATTGCCTATCTCCTAGAACTGGAAGGGACCTTGAAGGTCATTGAGTCCAGCCCCTTGCCTTCACAGCAGGACCAAGTACCATCCCTGACAAACTTTTGCCCCAAATCCCTAAAATGGCCTCCACAAGGATTGAACTCACAACCCTGGGTTTAGCAGACCAATGCTCAAACCACTGAGCTATCCCTCCCCCCTTTGGAGTGTCCTGAAGGGAGGTTCCAAAGAGGATGGAGAAAGGCTGTTCTCAGCAGAGACAGGTGGCCGAACAAGGAGCAATGGTCTCAAGTTACAGTGAGAAGGGTCTAGGTTGGATATTAGGAAAAACTATTTCACTTGGAGGGTGGTGAAGCACTGGAATGGGTTACCTAGGGAGGTGGTGGAATCTCCACCCCTAGAGGATTTTAAGTCTCGGCTTGATAAAGCCCTGGCTGGGTTGATTTAGTTGGGATTGGTCCCGCCTTGGGCAGGGGGCTTGACTTGATGACCTCCTGAGGTCTCTTCCAGCTCTATGATTCTATGAGCTACAGAAGGTAGGTAATCTCTTTTATTGAACCAACTTCTGTTGGTGAGAGAGACAAGTTTTTGACCTGTACAATGATCAGAAGAGTTCTGTGAATGGCCATCAGAACTTTCTTGCGCAAGAGCGTCCATGCAGTGTCGACACTCTTCTGTGCAAAAGCACATTGCTTTTGCGATGAGCTTTTGAGGTGTGGACGTGCTTTTGCATAAGAAGTTTTTATGGAAGATCTCTTCTGCAAAAAGCTTTTTGCACAAAAACCCTGCAGTGTAGACTAAGTCTTAGAGAAAAAGTTAGAAGTGACATCTCCTGCCACCAAATAACCTCTTTGTGTTTGGCTCTGTTCTCAGGCAAAAGGTGATGATTTCCTGATTTCTTCCTGATTTCCATAGCTGAGTTTCAGGACAGGTCTTGTAATCTCCCTTCTTAAATGCCTGATCCTTCACTGTAAAAAATAAACAAGAAAGGGGATGAGGGTTAATTTTACTTGAATGAAAGGAGAAACTCTTATGCTGCCTTCTTGATGGCTAAAAACACTACCGTACTCTTAATTAGGAAGCTCTGCCAAAGGATAACCCACAGCAGCCATAAGATATGTGATTGGGTTTGTAGAAGCTCAGATCCTGGAGGGAGGTGGTATAATCTTGCTTTCTCTCTCCCTCTCCAGCGAAAACAGATCAACCATTTCCAAAAAAATGAGTTGTTTTGCCCATGTTAAATTCTGGGTACGTTTTCTCTGAAAGACTCTGGCACCTTCATGATCTGTTGACATGAGTTTTAGTAGTTAAATTCCTGGACTGTCATTGCTCATTAAAAGTGCTGTCATATGGGTGGAAATCAGGTAAATATTGCATTTTACTAATATCAACAATGTAGATAAATCTATGTATTATTTCATATGACTTGGCATTGTGCCTCTCCATATAACCTTGTAACTTTGTATTAGAACCCTATATAGAAAACTTGTAGAAAACTGAGTATATAGTTAAAGTGGTAAAAATGTCTTTTGCTAGGAGTAGAATAAGATCTTCCCCCCACTCTGTAATCAATTGCCCTGTTGAATGAATGAGGTGAGAATGAGTAAGACTTGAGAGCCAAGTACCTCCAGACAGCTACAGCAGTTGAAGAGGGGGTGGAAGCCCGGCTTCACCCCTCCCCCATCTAACTCACCTGGCCAGTGAAGTTAAGGGGAGCAACTACTTGGTAACAACAGCAAGACGGAGTGTGCTTGTGTGTGTGTGTGCATGAGTGATAGATAGATAGATATGTCATATGCATATGATAAGTATTGATTATTCTATGGCTGCGTCTAGACTGGAAAAACTTGCCAGCTGTCTACACTGGCCGCTTGAATTTCCACAAGAGCACTGACTTCCTACTGTTTGAAATCAGTGCTTCCTGTGGAAATACTATGCTGCTCCTGTTCGGGCAAAAGTCCTTTTGCACAAAAGGGCCAGTGTAGACAGCTCAGATTTGTTTTGCGCAAAAAGCCCCGATCGCGAAAATGGTGATTGGGGCTTTTTTTGCACAAAAGCGGGTCTAGATTGGCACGGATGCTTTTCCGCAAAAAGTGCTATCAGCTCAGTTCCCACAGCAAAGCCAGACTGTGAACTCTGCAACTATCTGGTAGTAAAGAATGAGCATGTTTAAAACAAAAACAAAAACAAAAAAAGCCTTAAGCATGCCAGGTTTACCAAGTTCATTCTGTCTCTATGCATCCCCAGAAAGGTTCCCCCATTTTGTTTATTGATATACTAAAATATGCATTTGAAGCTGTATTTATAAAGGTCCTTAATCTAAGCATGTGCTTATCATTACACAGGAGCAAGAAGCTGAGACCCCTTTGTTGCACAGGAAGTTAGGCTTGTGTGTGTGTACTTGTATGAAAAGGGCCTGTTTCCCAGTTTCTCCTGTTTATGCACGGAGATTACTTCCTCCTCTTACCAGACACCCCCTACTAAAATCTTTGGGGAGATGATGAAAAAGGGCATCAACTTCGCTTATGTCAAAGCACAGCATTGCAAGTAGATTTCATCACCTGTCAATTGGGTAGCAGGCTGGGTGTGTTGTTTGGAAAGGAAGATGAGAGGGGGGGAAAACAGAGGACCAAAGGAGAAGAGAGTTGCCCAGCTGCCAGCGGTGGGTACAGATAAGAGTCCCGTGCTGGAGTCGGATCAGTTGTTTTGAATACAAATTTCTATTTTTTCCGGCCAGCTCTACCAAGCCGCCACCGAGTCAGAAAGGGTCGGAGCCGTCCAGCGGGCACAGCCTAGCCAGGCTGCGGAGCAGGGGCGCGCGCAGACCAGCTGTGCAGCGGGGAGGCAGGTGTGGGGCTGGAAGCGGGAGGACGGAGCAGAGGGGCGGGGGCGAGGTGACAGTGTGGGGAGGGAGAAGGGCTGAGGGAACGGGCGCAGGCTGCAGCCCCGTCCCTTGGAGAAGCGCTGGGGGAGGGCAGCAGAGGGCGGGGAAGCCAACCTGCGAGGCTTCCCGCGACATGGGGAACGCCATGTTGCAGTACGGAAGGGAGGCTCCATTTCGCACTACGGAAGGCGTTGCTCCCGAGCTCGCTGTTCCTCTCCCACAGGGCGCCGCCATTTTAGATTACGGAACTCCCTGCGCCCCATGGCGAAGCCTCTCCGACGAGCGAAACGGCGGCCCACAGGGGTCCTCGCCCTCCCTTCGTATAGGTGTCTTCATAAAATGCCTGCTAAAAATCCCCCCTTTTTTCGCCCCGCTCCCAAGATGGCGTCGATGCGGGAGAGCGACACTGGCCTGTGGCTGCACAACAAGCTGGGCTCCACGGACGAGCTGTGGGCGCCGCCGAGCATCGCCTCGCTGCTCACGGCCTCGGTGATCGACCACATCCGCCTCTGCCTCCACCGCCTCT